CCCAACTGTCCTGAATGTGGACAGAATGCACGGGGCCGGACTGCGCATCGAGACTGGACCCAACTGTGTGCACAGATCCCGAACCTGTCATTAGTCCGACAGCGGTGGCCGTAGCGGCATTCAGATTCGAAGAGGAGACCCCAGTTACCGAAGTGGTAGACTCTGTCATCACATTCGTGGCTGGTCCACTGGCAGACGAAGTTGGACTGGTACCGGTCTGCAATAATGCATCGGCTCCAGGATCTAGCGTGTACCCGGCTGGCCCGTAGGTATCACCCAGTTGACAAGCTCCAGGACCATGAGATGGGTTGGAACCCATAGTCATACGCACATTTCCAGAATTCATCATCAAAGTAGACAAACTCACAGTATCCGAATCCGAACTGCAATCAATCAAGGGGTATGGAGAATGGAGGGAATAAACAAGAACACACGTAACACGAGACAGCTATTATATTCTTATTACGACTTGTTAGCAGTGAGGTTTTATTGATTCCACGCCGGGAATCGAACAGCAAACCATCGGGTTACGAGCTAAAAGTTCTACCTTTGAACTGCACGATCGACGGTCAACCCCTTGAGAAAATGGTTCAACCAATTTGAAACATCATGTTTAGTTTAGCCCAAGACCATCATAACAGTGTTTGGTATTTGTGACTTATGGAATGAGCTGAATCAAACCCAATATTCTAAAACGTGGCTAATAGCCAAACTGAAAATTAGGCCAGAAACCCACAATGGAACTGATTGTGATCCAGTCTCTTCATTACATATCAAAGTAAGATTGAAATCCGTATGTATCCAAGCGGATATTCATGCCTATAACTCACGAGGACCGACTGCTTACTCATGAAATCACACACCAGTTATTACACTTGAAATGGCATAGATTCCAACAATATAGAAGAGGTAGTGAGCCTGACGACCTTTTGAGGATAACCGAAGTTTGGTAGTGGTGATATGATTCCAAAAAAAGTGAGACAGGAAAGAGAGTAGTACGTCCAATGAAATTGAAGTTCCGTTAGAATAGCTATTAGAACCAAACATGGACAACGTGGGTTCAGCTGGACTGTCGGATTGTCGAAGGGTAATTGTACACATGAACCGGGAATGGACTAAGAATCAGAGCGAAACAAATTGCAGCAGAATTTTTAAAAATACAATAATCAAAACGTTAGTGTTACAACATATTGGAGCATAAGCTTACGTGACGCAAACTACAATTGTGTATATATATACATATATATATATATATATCATTACAGATACATTGCCAAAATAACCATGAGTTGAAAGAGATAAAAAACAGAACAAGAGAGGAAACAAAAACAGTCAAATGTGGTGATGATAACTTTCGTGGTTTGGGGGCATTCACGCCACTGACTTCGGTTCGATGTCATAACCCGTAGCCTCCAACGAAAGACAATCCGGATCTTTGGGACCCCAGAGTGGAAGCCCCGACGAGTGCCAAATCCCAGCACAATTTCCCTACCCACCC